AAGCCACCAGGTCTGGGATTTGAACTGCAGTGGGCCACTACGCCATCTGCAGGCCCTGGATATCACTCATTTTACCAGTGAATTATTTACGATATAATTTATGCTAATTAACACCCCCTAGTGAAAACGGAGATAGATTATGGTGGTTGAAGTGACTGTTGAAACATCTAATATTTCTGAGGTCTTTTTGTTGTCAGAAGATGATGTAGTTAGAGTATTTGGCAACTTTATAGTATTGTTGACTGGAATGGTGAGAAAAATCAAAAAAATCTGGCTAGGTAAATACACTCAATGAGAATGCTAACGATTAGGGCACAGGCACAAGTTTTGTCAACAGTGTGTCACATACATTATACTACGTTTAAAAAAGTGGTAACAAAGGAAGCTAATGAGCCAGGTGGAAGTTTAAAAAGTTGCCAGAAGTAATTTCCGCTACAAGTTCTGGGCGCTTCTCGAGTCGCTTTGACAAGACCACTAGGTATACACTGTACACCCTCAATTCTAGTTCGCGGACCCATCGCCTCCGTGGGACTACAACTCCCAGAAGGCAATGCTTGGCTCGCTTGACTCCGCACCCTCAGCCGGCCGGGAGTGGCGGCTCACACGCGACAGCGTCTTTCATAGAGTTTCACACACTTGCCACCAAGGACTCAACCACGAGGGCCTCCCCTCCATCCGGATTCTCCCCATTTTCGGGAGTTGCTGGGATTCCCAAACTTAATTTTAACTTCCGGCTGTGCCGGAGGTGGCGGTGTCCGGCCGGCGGGGCGCTCTAGGCCGCGCGGCCTCGTCTCTATGGTCATAGGGGGGCGGGCCCCGTGACTGGCGCAGGGCGCACGACGGGGGCGCGCGTCAGTTCCGCGCGGGACCTGTCCCGGCGCTGGGCTGGGGAGCCAGGCCGAGGCGTCCGCCGTCCGCAGTGTGTGCCGAGCCGCTCCCTGGCTGTAAGGGCCGCGCGGGGAGCCGGCCGCCCACTGCAGCTGCCTTCCGCGCGGCGGACCCCGCGCAGAGCGGGTCGGCGGTCGGACACCGCGCTTGCCTTCGCCCCGCAGTAGTGGGTGGGGACCGAATTCTGAAAGGCCCGCTCTGCGGCCAATCTGGAGAGGACCCGCGTCGCCCAGCACAGGGCAGGGCAGGTCCTTGTCGTCGCCCGGGCCACCTGGCTGCGGTCTCTGTTGGCTTTGGGCTGCACGGGATGCTCAGAGGGTGACGACGAGCGCGCTCCGGGTGCAGAGCCCAAGCGGCGGCTAGTCTGTCTCACAGCTCCTAAACATGCCACTGGGGCATTTAAACAGCACTAAAACCGTAACGAGATGGAGAAAGCAGTCGTTAACAGTTCCATCCCAGGAAAATACGGTATATGACTAGAAGGCACACCTTGGTATTTGAAGTGGAGGTTGAGATCAACTTCTCTTCTGGGAATGGCACATTTGGAGACCAATTGCCTTTTAAGGAGGGCGAGTCTAATGAACTCCGCAGCATTTGTGTTTACTTGAGCTGTGTGTAAGTTGGGACCAGAGGTGGATTTTTGGATAGTAGCTAGGAGAGGTTGAACAACCTTTTGACACCCCGATTCTTTCTGCGACCTTCCTCCATAGCGCTTAGCTTCACCTCTGAGTAAGATGTTCAACAGATATTTAAGGAGTATCTTTTTGCGTGGATGCCGAAAGATTTTCCTTGTTGGCAGTGGATATTTAGTATCAGGCTCTGCCGTGGGCATTGTCTGTAATTGCTTATGCTTCTGTGCAGTCTAACATTGCAAATAAGTACAACCTTAAGAGTCTTTAAGTAGCAACACAGGAAGTAAAGGGAAAAAAAGTTGTTTTGATAGCTGAAGTGGAATGGAGATAGCAAGGTGAATGATGAGTGAAAACTGGAGAATTTCGCAAGTCAGATCATCGTTGGAACAGTTTACATATTTATACTTATCGCCAGTACATAGTTGTTGTTTCTTGGTTCTGTTATGTCTTATATGCTTGGCAGAAATGTATAATCCTATCAACACTGTCATTTCCATCTGGAGAGTTACAAAGGATTTACCTGGGACTTTCTGCAGTTACAAGTTCTTGGGTATTACAGATAATGTCCCCATAAAATATAAGTGAAAAAAAATGTGTAACTCTAGGCGAAGTTTCTTTGGGGGGACATTTTCCACATGGAAACAAGTACTGTGTGGGAGCTGATGGGAACTTTGTGAGAAGCAGAGAACAATGCAGATTTCAGATTGGGTTCCAGTGGGCTGTGGGCATGATTTAAATTCTCAGCAGAATTTGAAGTGATTATGTATTATGGACTTTTGATGTTACCCTGAAAAAATGGAAACTATTAACTGAAATTTCATGCTAGGGAATCGGCGAATGGAGTGAAGAAGAAATATTTTGACCTAATATTAAACTGAAATGTCAGAGAAAGTCATGCTTAAAAACATTATTATTACTTTTTTTGGAAAAAAATTTTTTAGAAGTTGAAATGTGCTTTTAAAAGGTATTCCATACCAAAGCCCTATAAATATTGCAAATATCTATACCCAATTGATTAGTCCTTTACTTAGACTAGCATTTTAAAGACTGTGATATATAGTCTCACATAATGCAGATAGGTATTCATTCAAAGTTGATGACAAAGTAATAGTATAGGTCAGAGTATGTTTCTGGGCTATAAATATAGTGTTTAGACATTCACCGTGTTAATTTTTGGAATCCGGAACCTATACAGTAGCTAACTTAAAGTAGTTTTTAGCTTGGGATTCCTACCCTTTTTTGTGAAAGTGTTGACAATCTAGGACAAGGATTGGCAAATTTTCTGTAAAGGGCTGCATGGTTTCTTACAACTACTCAGCTCTGATGTTGTAGGACAAAACAAAACAAAACAAAAACCAAAAAATTAAAAAAAAAAAAAACCCAAGACAATTCTGAAGTGAGCATGGCCATGTTCCAATAAAATTTTGTGCAAAAGAAAATTTGAATTTCATATAATTTTCACATGTCATAAAATGTTAAAAGGGGTTTCCCCCAATCATTTAAAAATGTAATGCCATTATGAGTTTACAGGCTATTAAAAAAAATGAAAAGTATAATTTTCTCCGTCCAATCTAGAGGATGAAAAGTGTGTTCTTCTGTACTGATTGAAAGGTTATTGATGTTTATTTTCGAAGTCACACATTTTTCCCTGGTGTAGGAAAGTTTTAGAACAAAGAAAGTAGTGTAGTGACCTCCTTCACTTCCTTTTACATAAACACTGCTTTTTGTCTCCTCAGATTGTTTGGGAAAAAAACTAGGTAGTTTTAAGCTCTATTTCTTTTGTTCTATAATACTGCTTTTTAGTTAACCTTTGATGTAATTTAAAAAATCTGGGCCAGCAGGTGGCATGGTGGTTCAGGCACTGGATCTCACATAGCCAACTCTGCTGTTCAAATCCCTGACCTAGTGGCCTGAAAATCACGCCACGCACATGTGAGTGTGTGCCCAAAATCCCAAGACGAGAATGGAGGAGAAGGGATTGCAACATGGCCATACCCCCGGGGAGTGATTTCTCACTTTCCCTCTCTCTCTCTCTCTCTCTCTCTCTCTCTCTCTCTAGTGAGTGAACATGTCTTATGGGGGAAAATAAAATCTGTCAATAACTTTCAAATTTTTCTTTGATTCACTCGTTTTCTTGTAAGTTCCTACCTTACTGTACTAAAGGCATTCTGTTTGAAACTCCTATTTTATCTTCCTAAGAACGCATGTTAGAATTGTGGTTAGGCTTCGAAAGCTGTGGACAGCAGCGTACTTAGCCCATAACATAGTTGCAGCAGTGACCTGGAGTCATCCTGTAGCCCTCTGATTCTTAACTTAGGGTCGTCAAAGTATGGTGACTAAGTCAGCCATACTGGCCAAATCCGTTATTGTCTATTTTTGTATGGCCCATGATCTAAGAATGGTTTTTACAGATGAGCATTTGCAATTGTTTTGATGTTAGAGCAGACTTTGAACACCAGTGAAATAAAAACCTAAGTCTTTACTTTCAGCCTTTTACAGAAAAAAAAATTGCTGACCCTTGTTTGACCTGAGCCTGAAGATTTGGAGGGAAGTTAAGTGCTGGTAGGAGGTGGGGAAAGAAAGATAGTTCGAACCTTGGGTGATGGCAGGATCAGATCAGGTGTGGGAATATGGAGGAGGGAGACCTGGTATCCCAGTGCTTGTGGTTTTACTGAAGGTGGATTGGCTCTGGCATTAGAATGATGGTAGCCACTTGGGTACCCTTGCAGGCAGTTCTTAAATTGATTTTATAATTTATGTATTTCCTACATTTCAAGGTTGACTGAGCTTTGTTCTTAATAGTCTTATTTGGGTTATGAATTATTTTTCCGGATCATGCAGTAAAATGAGAGGTTAGATATTTTTATTTTCATGAAGTTCAACATTAAACCCCACTTTTTTCAATCAATTATTTATTTGATTTTCTTTCAACTATGTTTAAATTTAGAATGTACTTTGCAGTAATTGTCTTAATCTTACTTTCCCGATGTTAGTCATAAAGACATTTCAAATATGTTGTTTGTTACATCCTGAACTAGAGTCAGTGTGTCACGTAATCTCACAATTGGGCCACTCTCAAGAAACACAATTTCTGCTTACCCAGCTGATGTTTAAAGCCCACTGTGCTTTGTGTACTGATTGAAAGGTTAGTGCTGGTTATTTTTGAAGTCACACAGTTTCCCCTTGTATGGGAAAGTTTTAGAACAAAGGAAGTAGTATAATAATCTCCTTCACTTCCTTTTACATAAACATCATCTATGTTCTTGTAATTGCAAAGTATTGATTTGAAATAAATTTTTAAATGTCATGGGTTTTTAACAAATATTTTGTGCTTAAAATCGAACATGTTTTGGGTTATAACTAGATGGTTAATTTTTATGTACATAATATTGTCTACTAAATAATATCTTTGTTGCCTGTATTTTCTAGAAAATGTGAGTTTATTATTCAAGTTATACTGCTTGGCAGTGATGACCCTGGTGGCTGCAGCTTATACCATAGCTTTGAGATACACAAGGACATCAGACAGAGAACTCTACTTCTCAACCACAGCCGTGTGTATCACAGAAGTTATAAAGTTATTGCTAAGTGTGGGGATTTTAGCTAAGTGAGTATAAATACTTTCAGAGTGCTAAATTATTATTTTTCCACTTAGTTATTTATAGCAGAAAATTGCTGACCTCTGTCTTAGGTAACTATAGTTTATAACTATATAATCAACCTTTCTTGAGTATTTCCTGTGTGTAGTGCTAGGCACTGTGCTAAGTGCTTTTCATGAATTTTCTCATTCAGTTCTTATACAAGAGGAGTGCTATAATTACTCTTGTTTTACTGATACAGCATTTGAGATTCCTCAAGAATTTGGTTGTAGAGAAGAATCATCTAAAACATGAGTTTCTCAGTGGAAAAAGCACTAGAAAAAATTTAAAAGATGTGAAAGAAGTGTAATACATTTGCAACTACTGCATTTTAGATTGAATATTCTTATGGGGAACTACATTGGAAAACTATCTGCACTTGTTTGAAACACATTGGTAGAAATGGAATACCTGATATTTATTCATTTCTTGAAATGAAAAGTTTACTTTTAAGAGCATTTCTGTGAAAATATTAACTTCTTGGAATGGTAAAAGTGAAAAATTAGTATCTCAGCTTATGTAATCACAGACTGATGGCTGTAAAAGGAAATGTTGTAGGACATTGTGATTGCTTCCTTAGCAATATGTGATGAGCAATTGCTAATGAGACTAAGCAGAGCTATCAGACTGGGAAAAATACCCAGTGAAAATGTTGAAAATTGGTTCTAGATCTTGAAAGGACAACTGGGTAATAATAATTGACCTGAGGCAGTTTGCATTATGAAAAAGAGGAGCAAAATACATGACCAGACTATTGTTGGGTCACTTAGGATGAATTGTTGCAGAAAATGAAAAAGACTAGAACTTTAAATGAGTCTTTTAGATCTAGCGGTGTGGCGTTTGCAAAATAAATAAATAAATAAATAAATAAATAAAAGATTTCACAGAACTCTGAATACTGTCATTTCTTTGTATGCATATTTAAATTGATAAAATAAATAGAGCAAAGGCAATCAGGATGTATACAGTTTGTTAAAAAACACAGGTTGGATGTCTGCTTTATTCGCTATGATGGAGAGATTTTTAAATATGTTACTTGAAAATTTTATGAGATGATGTGTTATATACAAAGGAAACCAAAGCCTATTCATATTTTTAATTTTATATTTGTTTCAAAATTCTTTTCCACCTAATGTTAAGTCTTTCTGTAGAGCTAAAAAAATGAAATTAAACTTTTTTCTTTGATTTCAAAATAGAAGCAATACATTATCATCTGAGAGAGAGGATGACAATTTCAGGATTTTATGGGAGATATAGAAGAATTATGTTAGAAATGACTAAATGGTCAAACTTGAAGAACTTTCTCTTCAGAGAAGAAAAATGAAGAAAAACTTAGATCTTGATTAAAATAGTACATGTCTCCATAGTCCTGGAAAATTATTGTAAAGTTAATGTGAAAATTAGGTAATGTTTACTAAATTTTTAAAAGAATTATTTAATTTTACTTATCATTATTATTACTTCTTTTAAGAATTATTTTATTTAACTTTATTATTTACTTATTTATTTATTTACTGTTTTTTAAAATTTGACCAAAGAGGGACAGAGTGAATGAGAGAGGGAAAAAGTGAGAAAGCAAGCCTCTGGGTCTGGGACTCAAATCATGGCCGGCCATGTGGAAGTCCAGCACCTTTAGCCAACATGCCACCTGCTGATCCCCCCTCTTTTTTTTTCTTTAAAAATTATTTATGTAACATCATTCATTATCATTATTATTTTTTAAAATTTGAACAGAGAGAGAGGGGGAAAGTGGGAAAGCTAGCCGCTAGGTCCAGGACTCAAACCACAGCCAGCCATGAGGGAGTCCAGTGTCTCAACCACACATCACCTGCTGAACCATTATTACTGTTTTCTAATTCACCAGATACTGTTTTCTAATTCACCAGAGAAAGAGAGGTGGGGGAGAGGGAGGGAGGGAGAGGGAGAGGAGGAAGAGGAGAAAGAGGGAGAGTGAAAAACAAGCCATCAGGTCCCGGACTCAAAACCACAGTTGGCCATGTGGGAGTCCAGCTCCTTAACCCCCATGCCACCTCCTGGTCCCAGTGTTTACTAAATTTTGATTTGTATTTTTGGAGAATGACTTCTATAAAAGGGGGAATAAAAAAACTCCTAGAAGTACCATTTAAATGGAAACTATTGAGTGAAACAATAGTTTCTTTATTCTTTAAAGTGCAGTCACTTCATAGAGTTTATACAAATCTTATCCTAGAACTTCAATTTTATCTGAACTCTGTGAAGCTTCTCCTCGTTATAAACTGATCATTTTTGCTATTTATTTGGTATGGTGTCTACGGTAATGCTCTTTGCTCAGTAATGTTTAGTCTTGGCTACTTGTTGATGTAAGTAGATATCATATGATGGGGTAAGTGAAAGGGCTGAGACTCCTCAAAGTAATGCCTGAAAGTCTCAGTGCGTTGCTTATAATTGAAGTTCACTGAGAGAGAAACATAGCACTGCTATATCCAAATCTGTGCTTTACTTCTTTCAGGCATTTTAAGCATACAGTTATTCTGAATCTGTTTCATTATACTGCTAAAAAGATGTAATGGGATAGTCTAGTTCATTCATTTAACAAATATTTCTCAAGCTCCAGTTATGAGGGGACTTAAAAAAATTTCATGGAAAAGTGAAATTAAATTATAAATTTATTTCGATGTAAAAAAAATTTTTTTGAGAGATTTTCGCTATAGGGCGCATGCGCTCGCCAGACAGACAGAGAGAGACATAGAGACAGAAAGCGAGAAATCACCCCCCAGGGGAGATGGTCACGCCGCAAGCCCTTCTCCCCCATTCTCCTCTTGGGATCTTGGGCATGCATGCACATGCGCCCGGCGTGAGTTTTAAGCCACCTGGTCTGGGACGCGAACCGCGGTCGACTACGTGGGAGTCCAGCGACATAGCCATTACGCTAACTGCTGGTTCCCTTGATGTAAAAATTTTGAAATCCATGCAGAAATTTTCATCATATAAGCATTTCTATGAACTTCTTGAAGACTCCTTATAAATGATCACCCCTGTTCTAGATGCAAGAAATATAGTTGCAGACTAAAAAGGCATAGTTCTGCCCTCATGAAGCTTATATTGAAGAACCAAATATTATAATAAATAACAAATGGGTGGAGAAGGGAAAGTAGAGGGTATTGTAAATAAGTAAATAGAGGATCTTTTCTCTGTGGAGATACATTTAAAGCTAGGCCTATGGGGCCAGGTGGTAGCTCAGCAGTAATGCAACTGGACTTACAAATGGGAACATCCTGAGATCGAGTCCTGAGATATCCCTGTTCTCACTGGGTGTATGCTAAGACTATTGTGGTGTGAGGACTCTGTTGGGGGTACTTCCCCCGACCCCTTTCTGTTGCTCTCTCCCATAGAAAAGTAAATAAATAAAAACCCAAAGCAAGAAAACTAGACCTGAAGATTGAGTAGAAGTTAGGCAAGAAAAGAGCAGACATCAGGCAGAGAACAGAGTGTTTGAAATTGTGGCAGCAGAAAAGTCTTTGATTTTTAAAGCACAGCAAATCTAGGTGTCTGGAGAGTTGTGACAAGGGAGTGGTACTAGAGGAAGCAGGAGAGGTCAGCAGGGTATCAAGAGTCAGTCCTGTGGATTTGTTAAGGTTTTTGAATTTTATATCAAGTATATTAGGAAATCTTTGAATGATTCCAATCAGGGTTTCCATGGTGACCCATTTTGTTTTAAGTGACTTTGACCCCTTTGAGAAGAATGGATTGGAAGAGCTGGAGGTGTAAGAGTTGAAAGTAGGGACACTTAATAGAGACAAGAGATAATGGTCCATAATGACAGCACAGGCAAAGAAGTTAGTGAATTTGAATTATGCTTGGACGCAGAAGCTGTAGGGCTTGGTGATGTGTTTAGATACACATTGGTTCTTACTGTTAGCAGTGCAGTCGTCCAGGATCCCAGTGGGTGCCTGAAATTGTAGATAAATCTGAACCCTATATAGTATGTGTTTTATCTATCTATCTATCTATATATATGTATCTATGATAAAGGTTAATTTATAAAGTAGTTATAGTAAGAGATGAATAAAAACTAATCAAAATAGAACAATTGTAACAATATACTATAATAGAAGTTATGTGAATGTGGTTTTTCTTTGTCTCAGAATATCTTGTTCTGTATTATAATCATCTATTTTCAGAACACAGTTGACCAGAGGTGACTGCACAGAAAGCAAAACTATAGATAAGAAGAGACTGTTGGGGACCAGCAGATGGTGTAATGGTTTACGTCACTGGACACCTATGTAGTTGACCACGGTTCAAGTCCCAGACCCAGTGGCTTAAAACTCATACAGGTCACGTGTGCATGTGTGCCCAAGATCCCAAGAGGAGGCCAGAGGAGTAGGACTTGTGGTGTGGCCATCCCCCTGGGATGGGGGGATTTCTCGCTTTCTGTCTCTCTGTTTCTGTTCTGTGTCTCTGGCTAGCGCATATGCCCTATAGCAAAAAGTCTTAAAAAAAAAAAAAAAGAGAGAGAGAGAGACTATTGTAGGGGCAAGCAGGGGGTGTGGTGATTAAGGTGCTGGACTTTGGCTTGGCCAAACACAGTTCAATTCCTGGACCCAGCAGCTTGAAAATCATGCTGGTGGGCTCATATGCAGGTGTGTCCAAAAATCACAAGAGGAGAATCGAAGAGAAGGGATTGCAGCTTGGCCATCCCCACTGGGGGGTGATTTATCACTTTTTCTCTGTCTGTCTCTGGCAAACACACATGTCTTAGGGCAAAAACCTAGAGGGGAAAAACGACTATTGTAGTTATATTAGTTATGTTCTGTAAAGTCACCATCACCAACATTGGATTAATGAATACTGATGCTCCTTGACTTATGATGGGGTCATGTTCTGATAAACTTTCATAGGTTGAAAATGCACTTAATATACCTAACAACTGAACATGAAAGTTAGACCTAGCCTGCCTTAAATGTTCTTAGCACACTTAACATTAGGCTGCAGTTGGCAAAACTCATCTAACACAACTGTTTTATAACAAAGTGTTGAGTATATCATGTATTTTCACTGAATATTGTACTGAAACTAAAAACAGAGGGGCTGGCTGCCACTGTCCAGCACTGCAACAGTTATCATATCACAAATATCACTAGCCTGAGAAAAGTTCAAAATTTGAAGCTAAGTTTCTTTTTTTCTTTTGTAAAATTTTATCAGGGGTCATGTGTGCTTGCTGGAGAGAGCCGGGGGGTGGTGGGGAGTGGTGGTGAGAGGGCACCCTCCCACCCCATGGTGCATGGTCACATCACAATCCTTTCTCCTCCATTTCTCTCTCCTTTTGGAATTTTGGGCACATATGCATTTGTTCTCAAGCTTCTGGGTCCAAGACTCAAACTGTGCACTTGGCCATGTGGGATCCAGTCACCTTTACCACCACACTATGGGCTGGCCCTGAAGTTCAGTTTCTATGAATATGAATGCATATTGCTTTTGTACCATCATGAAGTCGAAAAATTGTTGGGTTGAACTGTCATTTGCTGGGGACAATAAATACTGAACTAGGGAAACAGAGGGTTAGTTTCCTATGAGCCTCTGGTCACCATGTTTTTGTCAAACGATTAATTCATAAAATTGTTGTATGTAGTGTTTCAATTTAAAGACATCTTTAAATATATGGTGATTAATTAGCACCAAACAATAGCACTATAAGTCATGCTTGAACGAGGCTTATCTGTCGTATGTATTTTCACCATAAGGTCCATCATAGCCTTCTTACACTTAGGAATTCCAGACAGCATCTCAGCACTTGGCGTGGGTGCCACCTTCAGTAGTGTAATCACCAAAAAAAAGCACAAACATACGGAAAATGAGGCACTCAACAGATCACACTTATCCTGAGACAAGGCAGTGCATCCAGTGACCCAAAGCTTTCACAGCTCTATACATGTGTGTCAATGACTGTAAACTACCATAAGTATTGACTTGGAGTCTTTCCCCATATTATTTCTAATATTTAAAAGAGTGCTGATTAGATCCCTGGACTTCCACGTAGTTGACCGTTCGAGTCCCAGACCCGGTGTCTTGAACTCACACCAGGCATGTGTGGGTGTGTCTAAGATCCCGAGAGGTGAATGGAGAAGGGATCGAGGAGTGGCATCCCCCTCGGGGGGTGATTTCTTGCTTTCTCTCAGTCTCTCTCTGTTTTTCCAGTGAGCGCATGTGCCCTATAGAAAAGAAAAAAAAGTTCTAATTGGAAAATGATGAAAACAGTTCACTTGAAAGTTTTGGGATATTTAATTTTTCAAAGAAATGCTTCAGTGAAGAGTGCCTCATACATATGAGGGGAAACAATGATTATATATTTTATTTTTATTTCTTCAGAGCAAAAGTAAAATCACATTTCTTTCAGGTTGTGGTAAAAGAACAGGCAGACTTGA